GAAATAATCGAACGCTTTGAAAAGAAGCTCAACAGGTAGAAGCGGGAACTCATGTCATATGGGGCACGATTGACTCTTATCAACACTATCCTCACAAATCTACCCATGTTTATGTTGTCCTTTTTTGAAATGCCCAAAGGGGTCTTTAAAGGCTTGATTTTTATTGATCTAGGTTCTTCTGGCAGTGCGATGAGCACAAATAGAAGTACATGATAGTTAAGTGGGATATCTTTTGTTGGCCAAAGGATCAAGGTGGTTTGGGTATTGAAAACTTAAAGATAAAAAAATAAGCGCTTGCTTAGTAAATGGCTATACAAGTTGCTTAATGAGGAGGGTGTACGGCAAGAGCTTATTCATAATAAGTATCTATATTCCAAAACTCTATGTCAGGTGGAAGCAAAATCAATGGACTCCCCTTTTGGAAGGCTTGATGAAGGCCAAGTTCTCTTTATTCAAGAGAGATTCTCTTGAGGTTAGCAATGGCCATTCTACGAGTTTTTGCAAAGACACTTGGTTGGGGACAACTTGCTTGCTCTACAATACCCATTGTTAAATAATGTGGTACGTAGAAAAAGAATGAGATTGTGCACTCGATTATGGGATCTACACCTATGAACATCCAATTCAATTAGGCGGGCTTTGACTGGAGGAAAATGGGTAACGTGATTACATTTAGTGTGTAGGTTGATGTTGATCAACTTATCACAAACACCAGATTATTTTCAAATGATGATTGAATACTAATAGTGTGTTCAATACGATGACTGGTGTTCCATAGAAAACATGTTTGGAATATTAAGGTGCCAATTAAATCGCTTGCAAAATCAATGCTATTGCGCTACTATCGCCATTTAGAAACTACCCTACTATTTGCTTGCCTCCCAAAATGGCGGGAGATAGCTGCGATTTTGCAGGAGAATTGTGCATGCAGGCCTAAATTTCGCTGCAATCTTCTCTGTCGGTTAATCCTTTAGCCCATGATTTTAATCGGTCCATGAACCTTAAATATGGCATTGATCTTTATCAAACTGGAGTTACTTAATTACTTATCGATGCACCTCCAAGCCTTGCTAAACAGACTGAATCCGAGGAAACAAACCAAGGCGATTCCCGAGGGGGTTCTCCTTTTTGCCGCCATTCTCTAGCGAGTCCTCTCCTCATGATGGCCTCACGGATATCAATGAGTAGGTGGGTCGATGGAGCCCCGCGTTCAAGTCGTGTTTTCTGTAGGCTCAGGCCGGCCACTTGGTGATCTTTTTTCTTATTTCATTTATGCTTTTTTGGATGTGTTTGTGCTGATGCCCAAGTAGACAACTTTATTTCATGTGTTGCTCTTAAACTTTGTGGTTGCTTTATTTATAAAGCAAGGCGAAAGCATAGTTCGAGGTTCTGTAGGTTTAGGCCTTAGTCGTTAGAATTTTGGTAGGCTGGCGTTGTGGCTTCGACATCAATGACAACGCGGTGAACAAGTGTGCTCTAGATCTTCCCTTGACGTGGTAGCTTCCTTCCTCATCGGCGGCAAATTTAGGAGCTCATACGTTCATGTATTATTAATGACCATATTAGTTCTACATAGCCAAAGAAACCAATGTAAAGCCACAAACATGTTTAAGTATCATCCCAAAACCGAACTTCATCTCTGTTTTCAGCCTTGGATTGGGCAGCGGTGGTGCAATGCGTTGTAGCCTCCATGTGGGTGCCATCTTGGGAGGTTTGGGTTTTAGGGAGAGTGTGGGTGTGGGCGGTGGGCTCTGGACAAGGGCTCAAGCAACGACGGTGGTGTGGAGGTTGGCAGGTGGAGCGGTGTGGCATCTACCACGTCGACGACGACGGTTCTTGGCAGCACGGTGAAGCTCAGTCTTGGCGACAGATGTGACTGGATGGACGAGCGCAGGGTGTCAGCGTGTTTGGCACTGTGGCGGTGTTAATGGCCGGCCGGCCTCACAAGTATAATGCGGATCTCTTTCCTGGAGATGGGTTAGTGGATCGATGGTGGTGGCGGCTTCTGAAGCATGTGCATGTGGAGTACGCTTTGGGTTTGCTGTACCGGGTCTATTCTCCTGGTACGTCATGTGGGTGGATCGGCGGTAAGCCCGGTTCTATATGATGGGGAGTGATGGCATTCCCCATCATCGAGTTTGTAGATTTGAGTGATGGCTTCAGATTGTTTGGTGTATGTTCTTGTCAGATCTTAATTAAATAATTTAATAAAGATGAGTGTGTGCATCTATTGATGCAGAGTCCGGGGGTTTTAGAGGGTGTTTGTTTCCTGGGACTTATTGGTTTAGGGACTTAAAAAAATCCCTATAAGTTCCATGTAAACCAAACAGGAGGGACTTAAAGTGGGCATTTGTGACTTATGAAATAAGACTCTCAAGGAGGGACTTATAGTTGTAATATGGTCTTTTAGTCCATATTAAGTCTCAGGAACCAAACAGGTAGGGACTTTTTAGGAACTTAAGACTTATAAGTTGGGACTAAAAAAAGTCCTAGGACTTATGAACCAAATAGGGCCTTAACCTCCTTTTCGTTAAAAAAATTGCATGCTTCTCATGTGCTTCTTCGTTGCAGAGATGCAATCATGCTTGCGGTGGAGCGTGGTTTTCACTTTTCAGTTTAATACTGTTGAGACTGATTGCCAGATGGTGCAGCAACTATGGGATACGAAAGATGACAAATCTGGAGGAGTTCATATCATAAAGGAGATGAGATCGATGCTCCACTCTTTCCAGGGGTTTAAGCTAGTACTGCTGGAGCAGGTGCTAATTCTTTAGCCCATTTTTTTTTTGCGTGTTTAGCTGTTAAATTTGATGAACTTTCAGTTACGCATGATCTAATCCCTGACCATCTAATTGATTATTGCAATATAAGATAAGGTGCCCCCTAACGAATAATGAGCTTTAGGGCAGTGCTTTCATAAATATAAAATAAAATAAAATACACTAGTATGGCATTTTTGTAGCCCAAGGTTCTTCGTAGCGATAGCTGTTGATGCACCTTGCATCCTGGCATAATCCCAACCATCCAATGTGTAGCTGCCAATTGGTAGCTAGAATCTGTTCCGGCCTCTAAGACCAAAAAGTTGGATCTCCCCACCCACGACTCCGGTATGTTTGGAGAAAGAATTTGACCATATGCCACGATGACGTTGTGATGCATTTTATTCATGGTCCCATGACTCTGTCCATGTTCCTCGGTTGGCCACGGGGGTCATGAAATTGCGAGATTTTTCAACGCGCTACCATGCAAAGATTTCACCGCCATCATCTTCACGGGAGGAGCTAGCTCATGTGGAGGCGCTCCGGTCCGTCTGGTGCTCGCTGTGGACCAAAGAATTAAACCGGGCATCTTGCCCCTACTACAGTAGAAAGTAGATCAATCTCCGTGGAATATAATCCGCATAAAGCGCGGTTTTGGGATTCCCCCGTCAAATTCTGATTTCTGGACCTCCCTTCTGAAGTACAACTTGTTACTTGTGCTAGGGTTCTAACAACATAAAGTTCGCTGCTTCACGTACGTGTTGAATTCTCTTCGTCAGCTCTTCTGCTGTGACCTAGCAACCTCGCAGCATGCACGGAGATTACTACCGCGAACGTGCATGCAGCCACCGCGTGCAGTCTACATCAAACTGGATCCCAAATCTACCAATGGAACCTCTCAGATTCCAAGCACCAACTTGCAGGATTGGAATCTAGGCGGTCTCTACATCAGCACCAGCAATATTTACTCCTTTTCCGCAGCCAAAAAGGGCATCCCAATCCTGATGTGCCGCAGATTCTCTCGGCGCGATCCTTCCTAGCTATACCCAATTAACCCGCCACCCTTGTCTCAAAAAAAAAAAACCCGCCACCCTAGCTAGCCTATCTCTCTATCTAGTATCTCGCTCGATCCATATCGCGGGCACCGACAAGAAAGGCGAAGTTCTGCATGTGGCCCTGATCGCTACTGCACCCTCCAAGAGGCATGAGCATCTGCTTATCACGTCGATCGGATAGAGCAGCTCCAGAGTGTGCAGACGTAGTCACCAACTCGTCGCCATGTTTCCCATCGGCCCGGAGGACGGCACGTTCGTGAGGAACGACTGGTGAGTGGCCAAACGCTAGCTGTTCGACTTTATTTTGAATCTTATCGCACCCGTAGAAACTTGACTCTTTGCTGCAAGTTCAAGAAAACAAAAAATAACGAGCCATGCATGCATTTGAGACGTTGACGTGTGGATCAACAAATTATGCGTACTCTTATGTGTCGTCCCAAGCGCATCGCAGCACGAGAATCGACATTCCAAAGGAAGCATCTTCGTCCAGAAAAGTTCAGAATCTAATTAGCCTCACTGACCTTTCAATCCCAAAGCCGATGGCAATCACGATACCATTCGAGCGACAAGGCCTGGCAGGGCGGCGCCCCAAGCGCCTATAAATAGCGGGCACCGAAGCAGCACAGCGATCATCAAACCATAACCACCGGAGCTTCTGAAGTGCAAAAACCATCAGCGCTAACTTAGCTCGGTTTCCGAGAAACATATACCAATTCCGATCCAGTTGGAGATGTCTTCTGGGTCGAGGAGCGCATCCCGCAGCGGCGCCAACCCGGAGTGGAGCAAGAAGGAGAACAAGCTGTTCGAGGATGCACTCGCCTACTACGGCGAGGGCACGCCCGACCGTTGGCTCAAGGTGTCCCGCGCCATGGGCGGTACCAAGACGGCTGACGAGGTGCGCCGCCACTACGAGATACTTGACGACGACATCAAGCTGATCGAGTCCGGCAGGGTCCCTTTCCCCAAGTACAACACCCAGGGCCAGGGGGCTTGGAACTGATTCATCAATCAAAGGTAACCAAAACCCAACCTGATCCTCGTGTCTTGTCTACAATTTATAAGTGTGAAGTCAGCATGCAGGTTCTAGCCTAAAGCTATATAGTGATCGATCTCAACTCAATCACTTCTCATAATTAATAACGTTAGACCATGCCCTAGCCTAGCATTTACACAAAACTACCCAAACAAATGGGGGCATGCAGATGCATGTTTCTCACATTGAAATGCAAATATCAATGTAGCCCAGTTCTAAATTTGAGAAGTTGAGATAAGTTAACTTACAAGGTACATCTCTTGTTGTATTTTTTTCAGGAGCAAAGCTTCTGGATTCTGAAGATCCTGCAAACAGGATAACCTGTTGATAATCTAATCCTTGGCTGGGACCATATTATTGAAGCAAGCATAATTATGTATGTATAACGAAGATTGTGGGCACTTGGTTAGGAATAAAAAGAAGAAACATATGTGTGTGTACATAATACTAGGTTTGTAAGGGAATCAAGGGCACTTCTTCTCTCAGACGCTGGCATGTATTTTTCATTCTGTAACTCATCCCCAATAAGTTTTGGAGTAAATTTCAGTGATGTAAATCATCCCCTGTACTTGTGTGTAGTGTTTATGAACTTGTGCTTGGTAGAATATTCATGTTTTGTCTATCTTCAAGATTCGGATGTTTACGGTTGCACTTTACAATTTAGAGAGTGGTTTTTCTACACCCACCCTTGGTGCACCCAAGCAAGAAAACATACCAAAACATTTTGAAAAAATCTGAAGCTTTGTGGGAATGATCATCTACAATGTTAGAGAGGCTTGCAAATTTTCGTGGTCAAATGACATCCGAGGAGCTCTATATAAAAAAGACAAAATGAAATTTTCTTTGGACCACCAAACTTGGCAAGCCTCTCTAACATATCGATCCCTTTGGAGAAAGATGGAGTAGCTAGCTAGGAGTATGACTATGTGGCATCTGATAACTTGTGTACTCTCTTCATTTTTATTTACTTCGCATATTAGCTTTGACTAAAATGAAATTTTGTAAAGTTTGACCAAAGTTTATAGAAAAGAAATATGAAAAATTACAACAAAATCTATATGAAGTGAAATATATTCAATGATGAATCTAATGGTAATGATTTTGTATTGTGTTTGTTAACTGACTTTTTGATAAACTTGATCAAACATTATAAAGTTTGACTTCTCACAAAACTAATATGTGGAGTACATTGTTCGAAGATGCATGACTGCCACATACTTCTGCAGAGTACTTTACCAGCTGCACTTAAAGGAATTTTGTATCAGGCTATTGTTGAATTGGGAAGATTTTTTAGGGAGTTATCTTCCACAACATTGATGTCGTGAAAACAATCGAATGTTGGAATTCCTTTAATTCTATGCAAGCTTGAGAAGATCTTCCCCTTCCTTCTTTGATGTAATGGTGCACTTAGCTATTCATCTCCCTGATGAGGCACTTCTAAGGGGCCCTATTCAATGTGGTTGGGTGTATCTAGTTGAGGGAAGAGTAGGATATCGTAAGGGAACTGATCGTAACAAACAAGGCTCAAAGGTTCAGTTGCCGAGGCTATATCGTGGATGCATGCTTAACTTTTTACCCAGGTATATGCATGATGATGTATAAATCAACAGGTCTGACATGAACAAATAAGCTCATGTGGATTGCCCAAAGGCTTTTGCAACATTTGAAAAAAATACCTTGCTCATCTTTACCAGGTTTATGCCATCTGCTAGCAGACGGCAAAGAGGCCACGTGGCAGTAGCCTGGGCTGGCCTATTTGGGCTCTTTGTCGTCTGCTGGCAGACGGCATAAACCTTCTGACATGAACAAATAAGCTCATGTGGATTGCCCAAAGGCTTTTGCAACATTTGAAAAAAATACCTTGCTCATATTTACCAGGTTTATGCCATCTGTTAGCAGACGGCAAAGAGGCCACGTGGCAGTAGCCTGGGCTGGTCTATTTGGGCTCTTTGTCGTCTGCTGGCAGACCGCAAAGATGCAAAGGTCTTTGCCGTCTGCTGGTAGACGGCAAAGCACGCCGTTAACCCCCTAACGGACCTACGATGCCATGTGTGCCGTCCAGGTCCTTTTGTCGTATGCTGGCGGACGGCAAAGACCATTTCATCTTTGTCGTCCGCTAGCAGACGGCAAAGTGCCCTTTGCCGTAGCTTATTCAGTCGGACATGTTGCCGTCTGCTGGCTGACGGCAAAGGTCTTTGCCGTCCGCCAAGCATGCATTTGCCGTCCGCCATGGCAGACGGCAAAGTTCCTGATTCCTATAGTGCATGTAGTAAGTTTTCTTCACCTTATTAATTCCTAGAAGAATCTTACAAAGAAACTTTAATCGTGTTATAGAAAGTTCCTTTTTTTTGGTTTTGTAGGCTTTGCAAGGAAGAAATAATGAAAAGGATTGTCAATAACATCGATGAGGTGCTTGAGAAGGTGTTCCCAAAGTGGCTTCAAAACATGTGAGAACTTTGAATAATGTTTCAGAAGACTTGTGCACGCTATCGATTGGGACAGAGCATCATGTACTAGTACACAATGCCTGCAATGTCCATGGTGTTGGGATCGTGAGAAGCACCAAAGGACTCCAATTCTGGCATAATGACAAGGGAAATTTTGGTTCTTGCCACTAAGTAATTCCGATATTCCAAGGCTGCCACCCAAACTTCACGAATTTGGTTTGTGTCACTAGTGCTCGATCACGCAGAAAAATAGTTACATGCCTCTGCGTGCCTGATTACCTGATTCGGTTTTGGATGTAGTTATAGCCTTCTTCCCTAGATACCCTAGGATTTGTCTAATCCAGGAAATAAATTAAACTTGGCAAGGAAATATCTGCAAGTCCTTATTATCTCAAATATTCTAGTTCCCTGTACCAAGAATTATCGCAGAGATTGAAACAATATAAAGGAAATAGGCCAGAGCTAAGGTTTCATGTGCAGTTGTAGTGTAGGTATTTGGGGTATGAATTAGATGGTCATCATCGCACTGGTAAAAACCAGTATGTATATCTTGTAAACATGTTATGTAAGAGATGTGTCCTAGAAGCACCACGACCGACTGTCACAACATCAAGGATCGAATGTCCAACCTTGGCCCTATCCAACTCATGGGGATACCTCAGTTACTAAGGATAGACCAAACCACCACCTTAGTGTTCGATGGTTACATTATAGTCTCCCCTAGAGACTTGATTCTGACCACTGTATTAATTTACTATCACCAACTTTTGGCATAGCTTTCATCTCCTCTCTTCCCTAGACATCTACTTGTTCCAATCTTTGGAGTCTCAGGTACCGGTGAGCCCTGGGATCGAGGTAGAGGCAAGAGACACAATAGCTACACAACATTATAGAATAATGCTCTCTTTAAGTAAATAGATGACCCCTTATTGCACATACACGGGGTTGCGAGCCTACGCATCAACCCTTAGCCTAACATGATTACTCGCACATTGCATTGAATCACAAGCAATATAAATTATATAAATATATACTCGAAGGTGAATGATTGAAAGTCTTACAACGTCATTGATTGCAATGGAATCTCAATTACAAGAAATTAAACTAATGAAGATGGAGGCTACCGTGGTGAAGATTGCCATGGAGGTGGGATGTCGATGACGGTTGCATAGATGGTAATGGTGATGATGACAGTTGCATGGGAATAGTTGTTCTCCTCTCTTTATTAGTGGGGCTCCTCCTTCTTTACATAGTGCAAACAGGCGGAATGGGGTTTTAGGGCACTTCTGTTGTGAAAGATCCCAGAAGATCTCAGGGATGACATCACGAAGGCAGTAGCTCCCTCTACGACTAATTCTGATTGTATTGCGTATTCTCAACTAGAACCTCATGTGCGTGAGGATCATGAGGATGATCCTCAAGTCCAGAATATCCCATATATGGCTTGATTTTCTACCTAAAACATCCTTTTCTTTGATTACCTCTTGTAATCCCTTTGTTGTATATGTGGACTTTTGTTTTAATAAAGCTCTTGATATGTTGTGGGGGTTTTACCCCACAGTTCCCAGTCAAAAAAACATCCATTTCTGCAAGGAACAAAATAAACTAGGAGGTTTGCAGTCATTTGCATGTATTATTCATTAGTGGGAACATCAAGGTGATAATCTCAACAATATCTGAGAATATATGGTTTAAACACGGGTAAAAATGAGTGAAAATTTCACTCATCAATGTCGTCGCCTCTAGTTATCATGTGTCCTGACATTGTCGTCTGCTTTCACATGTTTCCTCATCTATGGGACCTACTACTTCTCTACATCAACATCACCTCTATGAGACCCCCCTGATGTCTACTACACAACCTTCTTCTTGTAGACATTGTTGGGCCTCCAAGTGCAGAGGTTTGTAGGACAGTAGCAAATTTCCCTCAAGTGGATGACCTAAGGTTTATCAATCCGTGGGAGGCGTAGGATGAAGATGGTCTCTCTCAAACAACCCTGCAACCAAATAGCAAAGAGTCTCTTGTGTCCCCAACACACCCAATACAATGGTACATTGTATAGGTGCACTAGTTCGGCGAAGAGATAGTGATACAAGTGCAATATGGATGGTAGATATAGGTTTTTTGTAATCTGAAAATATAAAAACAGCAAGGTAACTAATGATAAAAGTGAGCACAAACGGTATTGCAATGCTTTGAAACAAGGCCTAGGGTTCATACTTTCACTAGTGCAAGCCCTATCAATAATAATAACATAATTGGATCATATAACTATCCCTCAACATGCAACAAAGAGTCACTCCAAAGTCACTAATAGCGGAGAACAAACGAAGAGATTATTGTAGGGTACGAAACCACCTCAAAGTTATTCTTTCTGATCGATCTATTCAAGAGTCCATAGTAAAATAACATGAAGCTATTCTTTCTGTTCAATCTATCCTAGAGTTCGTACTAGAATAAGACCTTAACACACAAATCAACCAAAACCCTAATGTCACCTAGATACTCCAATGTCACCT